TTCAAGCCGTCTCCAAGCATTATTAGTCTCAAAGTGGGTTCCTCGTCATTGAATTTGAAGACAGACACTTAGTCGCAGCTGAGTCCGGAATGCTCGCAATTAGTAGACATACACTTAGTCTCAGCTGGGTTTTAAATCCTGGCATTGAGTAGACATACACTTAGTATCAACTGGGTTCTAAATGCTGGCAATTAGTAGACATACACTTAGTCTCAGCTGGGTTCTAAATCCTGGCATTGAGTAGACACACACTTAGTATTAGCTGGGTTCTAAATCCTGGCATTGAGTAGACATACATTTAGTCTCAGCTGGGTTCTAAATCCTGGCATTGAGTAGACATACACTTAGTCTCAGCTGGGTTCTAAATCCTGGCATTGAGTAGACACACACTTAGTATCAGCTGGGTTCTAAATCCTGGCATTGAGTAGACATACACTTAGTCGCAGCTGGGTTCTAAGTCCTGGCATTGAGTAGACACACACTTAGTCTCAGCTGAGTTCTAAATCCTGGCATTGAGTAGACATACACTTAGTCTCAGCTGGGTTCTAAATCCTGGCAATTGAGTAGACATACACTTAGTCTCAGCTGGGTTCTAAATCCTGGCATTGAGTAGACATACACTTAGTTCAGCTGGGTTCTAAATCCTGGCATTGAGTAGACATACACTTAGTCTCAGCTGGGTTCTAAATCCTGGCATTGAGTAGACATACACTTAGTCTCAGTTGGGTTCTAAATCCTGGCATTGAGTAGACATGCACTTAGTCGCAGCTGGGTTCTAAATCCTGGCATTGAATAGACATACACTTAGTATCAGCTGGGTTCTAAATGCTGGCAATGAGTAGACATACACTTAGTATCAGCTGGGTTCTAAATCCTGGCATTGAGTAGACATACACTTAGTCTCAGCTGGGTTCTAAATGCTGGCAATGAGTAGACATACACTTAGTATCAGTTGGGTTCTAAATGCTGGCAATGAGTAAACATACACTAAGTCGCAACTGGGAATTTATCATGTTACGCCTTCTTTATGAAAGATTAATTATATGTAATTAAGAATACAAGTGGATCTTTATTGATGAGATTATCAGGAAGGAAACAGTGACCATTTCTTACCCACGAGACTAATAACTGGAAATTCAAGAGATTAGTCTATTGTGAAATAAAATACCTGCTTATTCTATAGTGTTCGTAAATTATATTACAAATTAACTACTATGGATATTATACTACTTGAACAATTGTGATATAATGTTTGTGTGGTAAAAAATTTATCGTTAATTTCAAGTCATTTTCTGAACAACATCTACCAGTGTTGAGATAATCAATTTAGTGTGTGACCAGTGTATGCAATATAGGGATGATGAAGTCATTGTTTGAACAATGTTTACAGTGTCGAGACGATCAAGTCCATGTGTGAACAATACCTACCAGTATTAAGATGATCAAATCAATGAGTGAATAATATCTACCAGTTTCGAAGTGATCAAGTCAGTGTCTTAACAATACTTACCAGTGTTGAGATGATCAAGTCATTGTCTGTACAATACCTTTAGTGTTGAAATGATCAAATCACTGTTCAAATGATGACCAAACCAATTACGATAATTATGTGATTTTGAATAATGAACATGAATATCAGTTTAATTAAATCATTGTTGATCTATTAATTACCGTATCTATATATCAAATCATTGTTGATCTATTAATTACCATGAAAGATAATCAAATTATTGTTGATCTATTAATTACCGTGTCAAGATAATCAAATCACTGTAATATTTTAACTAATTTTCTAGGCCACACACACTGTAATGTTTTAACTAATTTTCTAGGCCACACACACTGTAATGTTTTAACTAATATTCTAGGCCACACACTGTAATATTTTAACTAATATTCTAGGCCACACACACTGTAATGTTTTAACTAATTTTCTAGGCTATACACACTGTAATGTTTTAACTAATATTCTAGGCCACACACATTAGTTAAAACATTACAGTGTGTGTGGGGCCTAGAAAATTAGTTAAAACATTACAGTGTGTGTGGCCTAGAATATTAGTTAAAACATTACAGTTTTCTAGGCTATACACACTGTAATGTTTTAACTAATTTTCTAGGTCACACACACACACTGTAATGTTTTAACTAATTTTCTAGGTCACACACACTGTAATGTTTTAACT